GGCGTGCTTCTAATTTTGTTGGTCTACTGTTTAAAGGATGGACCCAAACAAGCTAAAAGGGAATCTTGGATGACGGATCTACCACCAGAACTCAAAAGCTTTGGACTCGGTCCACGGACATTCAAAAGAAGAGCTGATGACAAATCGGGAGATAGATCCATTTGGACTGATACCCCAGCCGACAGAGAAAAGAAAGCCCAGGTAAGCCTTCGTTTGCCCACATGCCCTCCTATATACACACCACTCTGGTGTACACATGGGACTCTTTGCTTGTGCGAGGGCATCTTTAGTCACAAAGAGACAGCTGCACGGTTGGAGGAGCTGCATGTGCATATTGCTTTGGAACCATTCTGCTTCGTAAAGCAGAACATTTAATTAGGCTCAGGGCCTAGGATGCTGGTCTTGCCAGCATTGCCGAGGTGGCAGCTGCTATTAGCGTTGCAGCTTCAGTACAGGGGGAAAGCCAAGCAAGGGACTTTTGAGGGACAGGGAAAGCAGCTGGGTTGCAGTAGAAGGATTTTGTCTTGCTTTTAGACACATCCAGTTTTGCCCCTGCGAAAGGCTGAGCTGGATGAATCCCTAGCCGGAATTAAGATTGCTGGAAGAAATATCAACAACCTCAGATATGCAGACGACACAACCTTGATGGCAGAAAGTGAGGAGGAATTAAGGAACCTTTTATTGAGGGTGAAAGAGGAGAGCACAAAATGTGGTTGAAGCTCAACATCAAAAACGAAGATCATGGCCACTGGTCCCATCACCTCCTGGCAAGTAGAAGGGGGAAGAAATGGAGATGTTGGGAAAGATGGGAGGGCACAAGGAGAAGGGGACGACAGAGAACGAGATGGTTGGACAGTGTTCTCGAAGCTACCAGCATGAGTTTGACCAAACTGCGGGAGGCAGTGGAAGACAGGAGTGCCTGGTGTGCTCTGGTCCATGGGGTCACAAAGAGGCGGACACGACTAAACGACTAAACAACAACATGTTTTGCCTCGCTTGCCTTACCCACGGTACCACGGTAGCTGTTGTGAAATAAGTCCTCGGCTTGGGTCGCATTTGCTATGAGATGGAACTGTAACATGGCTGCTCTCACAGAACAGGCCCCCAAGAGTCCTGTGCTTTGTTCTCAGTGCTGTGTGGGGAGTCCAATGTGGTGTGTCCACTCTGCTTCTTCGCCAGCCTGACCAGATGTAAACAAAGTTGGTCTGGAAGTGGCACGGAACACTAGCATCCGGCTGTCTTGACATTGCCATACTCCTAGCTGTTCTTTCAGCTGCAGAGGCTGGAGAGAGCGGAATGGAGGAAAGGAGGAGGGACAGAGGCTGAACAAGAGTCATTTGTCTGGGCTAAATAAGCCCGGTGGTGAGCCAGAAACCCAGCAGCCTTTCCAGGATTGCAGAAGGAGCGGGGAGGATTGATGGACTAGGGAGAATTGCAGTGTGAGCATTTGCACTCTAGATGACACTCCAGTATAGCATTACGTGAAAGGGTGTGGGGTAAACAAGCGTAACAGAAAAAGCAACATCAGAGATAAGGAAAATGCCATCGTCCCTCTGATGAGCAAGGCTTCTTGCCTCCTGAAGTATGACTAGAAAATGGAACCTTGGCGCTCCCTTATTCTGAAACGAGAGAGCTGGGGCTTGCAGCATTCTGAGAGTTTTTAAATGGGAGAAGTATTCCAACGTGTTAATCTAGATTGGGTGCTCTGCACTTATACAGTGAACATGCCTGAAAAGCACGGCTGGTAATTTCCTTGCATTAAGAAGCAGATTTGTGCTCCAGACAGATCGATTTAAATATAGGATAGCCTTTGGTGCCTGCTAACCAGTTGTTTATTTGTCAGGAAGCGCCAGATGCGAAAAAGTCCATCAGTAAGGATGATGCAGAAGTTCTCCTGTCGGAGAAAGACAAAAGACTGGTTGAGCAGTTGTCTTCATACAATGTATGTATCGTTTCACGTTTCCCCTCTTCCTTTTTCTCTTTAGTGATGTTTCTTTCAATGGGAATATATCTAATGCAACTTTGATTATGAGGTGGCATAGAAATGCCATTTACAAATAGGTAGAGAAGGACCCTCAATGATCTTTTATCCTTGTGTGGCCGGTTTGTTAGAAATCCTTATCAAACAGCTTGTAGAAATACAACTTCTTTAAAGGGCGGCTTGAAATTGGAGAAATGGCAAAGGAAGGATTAACCTGAATAGGGTAACTGTGCCCCTGAAGGACCAGGTGCGCAGCCTGGGAGTCATTTTGGACTCCCAGCTGTCCATGGAGGCGCAGGTCAATTCTGTATCCAGGGCAGCTGTCTACCAACTCCACCTGGTACGCAGGCTGAGACCCTACCTGCCCGCGGACTGTCTCGCCAGAGTGGTGCATGCTCTAGTTATCTCCCGCTTGGACTACTGCAATGCGCTTTACGTGGGGCTACCTTTGAAGGTGACTCGGAAACTACAGCTACTCCAGAATGCGGCAGCTAGACTGGTGACTGGGGGCGGCCGCCAAGACCACATAACACCGGTCTTGAAAGACCTACATTGGCTCCCAGTACGTTTCCGAGCACAATTCAAAGTGTTGGTGCTGACCTTTAAAGCCCTAAACGGCCTCGGCCCAGTATACCTGAAGGAGCGTCTCCACCCCCATCGTTCTGCCCGGACGCTGAGGTCCAGCGCCGAGGGCCTTCTGGCGGTTCCCTCATTGCGAGAAGCAAAGCTACAGGGAACCAGGCAGAGGGCCTTCTCAGTAGTGGCGCCCGCCCTGTGGAACGCCCTCCCATCAGATGTCAAAGCGATAAATAACTACCTGACATTCAGAAGACATCTGAAGGCAGCCCTGTTCAGGGAAGTTTTTAATCTGTGATATTTTAGTGTATCTTTGGTTTCTATGGAAGCCGCCCAGAGTGGCTGGGGAAACCCAGCCAGATGGGCGGGGTACAAATAATATTTATTTATTTATTTATTTATTTATTATAACCTGACGTTCATTTGGATTCTTGGTACTTATTTCTTTTGGTTCTACTTTTAAAAATTTATAAGTGCAGTGGTGTCCTATACATGTCTACTCAGAAGTAAGCCTCAGTTCACAGGGACATCCTCCTAGGTGAGCGAGTGTAGGATAGCAGCCCTTTGTTAAAAGGTCTCCATTTTTATCTCTACTTTTCTTCAGCCTGGATAATTATTGTAATAGTTTCCAGCTGAGTTGTTTTTTCTTCTTCTTATCAAGGACTCTCAGAGATCTGAATCTCTTATGGATTTGCATCAGAAAAAGCTGAAGAGCAAAGCTTCCGAGGAGAAGAAGCCGCAGGAGAGGCGACCATTTGACCGTGACCAAGATCTCCAGGTCCATCGCTTTGATGAAGCACAAAAAAGAGCTCTCCTAAAGAAATCTAGAGACTTGGGCACTAGGTTTTCCCATGGCAAATGCAATATGTTTCTGTAATGTAAGCAGGCAAGGCTAGTGAAGGTATAGTTGTGTGCTATTTAAAAACATCATGTAGTAGTACTATATAATAAAACATCTTTTTTGTATATACAATAAATGTATAAAAAGCTTTTAAAAAATAGGTCAGAGTTTTATAGCTTGTTCAGGACCCCTTGGGGTTTTTTCCAAAACGTTATTGAAATTAATAGGCCTATTATGATCAATCAAGTTTTAAATAGTCATATGCACTCCCCTGTGTGGATTTCGAGGAAAGTAATTGGCTCAGATTCCTCATTTGTTTACGGAGCCATTCAGATTTAATTGACAGAAATACGTCATATTTCAGAATTTGAAGTTTGGGCCTGATAATGAGAAATGGAAATGGGCAGATAATGTGAATATTGCCATAATTACTTACGTGTATATTTGACAGGTGGGTAAGTAAAGCATTCTGTCTTTCTATACCCCAAAATGTCTCGGCCTATTGTATTTTATAGCATCTTCCATTCTTGGATGAGGTAAGCAACTGTGGATAACGGGGGCAGATTTGTTAATTAGACTGGAATTTAGTAGAAATGGTTACTCACCAGGGCATTATGCTTCTAATAGATGGGTGAAAAAGATGTTTAGCTTTTCCTATAATTGTAGTGCACTTTTCAAACTTCTTCTCTCTGGATCAAATACAGTGGTACCTTGGGTTAAGAACTTAAATCGTTTTGGAGGTCCGTTCTTAACCAGAAACTGTTCTTAATCTGAAGCACCACTTTAGCTGATGGGGCCTCCTGCTGTTGCCGCCGGAGCACAATTTCTGTTCTCATCCTGAAGCAAAGTTCTTAACCCGAGGTATTATTTCTGGGTTAGCGGAGTCTGTAACCTGAAGCGTATGTAACTTGAAATGTATGTAACCTAAGGTACCACCATTAGGATATCCATAAAGAAGAGGAGGTAATGGAGCAAAATTTCAATCCCATACAGTCTTCTTAAAGATACAGAGGACCTAACTGATATATTCCTTCTGAGTATGAAACACATGCCATATGAGTGTCTGTGCCACACACAATATTTAAATAGAGAAAATACTGAAATTGATTTCAAAACCAATTAATTCAATCTACGAGTTGGCGGGAGGAGACTCGGCAAATATGCACCCTAAATGTTAGCGAAGTTGGAACAGTCATCTGGGCCAAGATAATGAGACAGTCAAGAAAACTGAAAGTGGTAATGCTTTCCAAACAACGAGCAAAGGATTAGAGGCAATTCTCTTTCTCCAAAGGGTTCGCTTCCTTCTCTGTCAACATATCTGCACAACATCAAGTCATTATGGATTCAATAAATCCCTTACTTCATGGGTGGGGGAAAATAAGGTCCCCTAGTTCACTGGCACAGGGACGCGGGTGGCGCTGTGGGTTAAACCACAGAGCCTAGGGCTTGCTGATCAGAAGGTTGCGGTTTGAATCTCCGCGACGGGGTGAGCTCCCGTTGCTCGGTCCCAGCTCCTGCCAACCTAGCAGTTCGAAAGCACGTCGAACTGCTAGGTTGGCAGGAGCTGGGACTGAGCAATGGGAGCTCACTCCGTTGCGGGGATTCGAACCGACGACCTTCTGATCGGCAAGTCCTAGGCTCTGTGGTTTAACCCACAGCGCCAAGTTCATCTGAATGTTGAAGAATAATTTGCCTCAAATGGAAAGAATAGGAGTTTGTGAGCATAAGGGTCCATCTACATCTGTTCACATAACGCTAACTATTATGTCTGAAGCACTTCTTGGTGTATACTTTTGTGTATACTTGGTGTATACTTATATACAAGGGCTGACCTTACTATTAGGTTCCCAAACTAACAGGTGCATTAGAAGATGGCAAATGGTCATCTATTTTAACTGGGGAGGGACTTCTTGTGGATATTATTCCTCAGATACCAAAATGCCTTGGGTTAGCCCTGCATGCATGGACAATTTATTTTAAGCACCCAACAGTTTCCCTTCAGTTGCCAAGGCAACATATTTTCCGTGTTGCAGGTTAAACTGAATGCAGATCCAGGACAGTATCCAACAAAGTACTCTTAGTTCCATTCGTGAATCAGAATTTCACCTCCCTCCACTCTTCCCATAGTGTCCCCACAAAAACAAATCTGCTCTGGAAGGCTGGAGAGAACGAATAACAGATTTAGGGTGAGGGAGCAGGAAAGGAGAGGGAAGGTAATTCCATGGCACAACAAGAAGCCCAAATAACTATTTTGCTGGGTATCACCCGCAATGTTAGCCCATTAATTGCAGATTTAAGGGATGTAGTTACAACTTAAATATCAAAAGCAAGGGAATTATAATAGAGGATGGTATTGTAATAAATTGGGGAGGGGGTGGAAGACATACCCTAAACCCAATAAATTAATATTTATTTATTTATTTATTTATTTATTTATTCATTCATACATACATACATACATACCCAGCCCATCTGGCTGGACTTCCCCAGCCACTCTGGGCGGCTTCCAAAAAAAATATTAAAATACTGTAATACATCAAAACATTAAAAGCTTCCCTAAACAGGGCTGCCTTCAGATGTCTTCTAAAAGTCTTGTAGTTGTTGTTCTCTTTGACATCTGGTGGGAGGGCCTCCCCACAGGGAGGGCACCACTGCCAAGAAGGCCCTGAAGTATCTAGCTGATACTTGGGATAGGAAGGGAAAATACAGGCTTCAAAGCTGTGCCACACAAGGAATCCCTGAGCTGGCTTATGCAAACCAGCTGACAGGAGCTAGCCAGCACTAAATCACACCAGCAAGTTGGAGTTAAGTCTTTATTAGCAAAAACAGGATCTGCACACGAGTGTCAGGCCCAATGAGCACTACCACTCATCCCTTGTAGGTCTTGCCCCCATGAAGCAATTGCTGAGAGTGAAGGCCTCCCCATAGCTGCCTTAAGTCCCCTACTCTCCTGGGTTTATCCCCAAGCAATCTGAGACTACACCTGTGTGAAGCTACGGTACTTCTCCACCGCCCTCTTCATGCCTCTCCTGGTTCTGGGAAATCGGCATAGAAGGGAATTTGTTGCATCAGGAGAGGAAGACGCACGTGTCTCGTCACTAGCTGGACTCAAGTTTGCCTCTTGGCCTCCCTCCTCTCCTGCTCACATGAGACTTGTGTCAGTAAGGACTTGGATGCCATTCAATAGCTGTCTGTGAGACAAGCCATGTTGTTCAACGCAACATCCTCAGAACAATAGAAGCACTAGCTGTGAGGTGAACATTGCTTTCCTCCAAGCAGCAAGATACATGGGCCCTGACAAAATGTGGGGTGAAATATTGTGAGTTTGGTGGGCGAGGTGGGGGGGCATTTAGGCTGTACAGTGGCTATGGGAGAAGCAAGACCTGCTTGGGGTGTTAATGCTGTGAGTCCCTCAACAGTAGGCTCAGGTTGTATATATGTGTAAACAAACCATATATCATAAAGACACCACAGTCTCCTCTTGTCCCTCATTCATAAATAAACTGTTAAGCAATGAGAACATTTGGTGCTTGACTCTTATGTGTTTACGACTCTGGAAATTTCATTATTCTGCCTGCTTCCTTATTAACAGGGCTTTTTTCCCCCCAGCTGTAATTCGGTTCCGGAACCTCTTAGGTGGGCACTATTGCCATTCTAAGACAATAAGGAAAGTGTTCGTGTTGAGTTGCGGCACCTCTTTTTCTAGAAAAATAACACTGCTTATTAATCTACCAGAATGCAAACCAAGTTCTCCGTAGAAAACTGTTGAAGCATTGACTAGGATTTCAGTAGGTCTCAACGGGAAGAAAGCAGTCAAGGCTACCAAAGCTTGGTGTCAGCAGCATGAGACGGGCGCATAGTCTCCCTAGCAACCATTGGGTGGCGGGGGAAATATCTCGCTAGCAGAAGGCATCTGGAGAGCTATTAATGCATCAGGCTGCATGGGTCAAATGCTGTTTGTTTCTCCAGCAAGCAATTAAAAATCACAGGGACTTCTGCTAATGTGTCTTACAGAATCAGCATTGAAGACGAGAACAATAGGGACAAGTGGAGTCACGAAAGCGGGCAGATACACTCAAAGCAATATTTTAAATATTAATACTTTGAAATTTGGTTCACTGGGAGGGGGGTGCCTGAATTTCCTTGTTGGGTGCTACTTAAAGGAAGCCCTGATCTTTGGGGTAACATTTGGGTTGTCACTGGACATGGGGATCTGAAAAGACCTCTGTGTGCAAATTGCTTTGCTCCCAGATGTTTATTGTGCTGTACTTATACACCCACGCAGGTGGTGCTGTGGGTAAAACCTCAGTGCCTAGGACTTGCCGATCGTATGCTCGGCGGTTCGAATCCCCGCGGTGGGGTGAGCTCCTGTCATCCGGTCCCAGCTCCTGCCCACCTAGCAATTCGAAAGCACCCCTAAGTGCAAGTAGATAAATAGGTACCACTTTATAGCAGGAAGGTAAACAGCGTTTCCGTGCGCTGCGCTGGCGGTGGCTCGCCAGAGCAGCTTCGCCATGCTGGCCACGTGACCCGGAAGTGTCTCCGGACAGCGCTGGCTCCCGGCCTCTTAAGCAAGATGAGCACGCAACCCCAGAGTTGGTCACGACTGCCCCGTACTGGCAGGGGTACCTTTACCTTTACCTTTTTACTTATACATTAGCAGGATGAACTGCCTCGCCTCACCCTCTGCATTCAGTGATACCTTTTTCAAGCTTTTCTGCAACCTTTGTTTTTGGCCATATTTGGCAGTGGTTTGTTGTTTAGTCGATTAGTCATGTCCGACTCTTCGTGACCCCATTATATAGAGAGATTGATCCTTCTGAATGTATGAGGAGATGTTGGGATGCTGTGAAGTGTTTTACAAAAGGAATGAATATAAACTTTGAAGCGCCTTTATACCTCTCTATCCTAAAAGACATCAAGCTGCTATTTTCTCTACTCTTTTAATTGTATTAACATTGCAGGAGACATAAAAGCCTGCACTTCTACTATTTTTCTAAGTGTGGCACAATTCTGGGTTCTTGTTTGTTTAAGGGAGGGGGCTTATAGTGTCATTTTGTGGAGGATATTTTTCTATCACATTAAATGCCAGCCTTGTTAAGAGCTTCATAGCCTAGTGGTTTCCATCCAGTGTTTAAACAATCAGCATTTCCTGCTAACCTATAGCATAATGTTGGGAGCTAAAGCATAAAATGCCTGATAGCTGTCAACAATAGTTTATCATCTGTAAAGACAGTGGTTTTTTGTTTTTGTTTTTTGTACCAAGGCATTAGTTATGCATAAAAACTGGATAACTAGGAACTAATTTCTACAGGGGTTTAGCAAAATCTGCTTTGGGTACCCCAATTTAAAATTCAATTACTCTTTGGCTACTAATTGGCATTCCTTCAATGCGGGGAATGTGATTACGGTATTCCTGAAAGCTGATTAGAGAGAGCTCACTTGGGAATTTGTAGAATAATGTTGCGCCTTTCAGTTGTGACTTAAATGAATTTGTCATCAATCAAATGCAATTGGATATGTGAGAAACCTGCAGCCTATCTGGCAAAACATGAATTGTTGTCTTGACTGCACTAATGTCCCACACTATGGAGCCAGCAGAATACACCCTTTTGGTTCAAATGAACAAGCCTAACCACCAGTGAATGCTGAGAAGGTTTAGAGTTTGTTGTTAAACAGATTATCAGTCATTCCAATGTATGTCTTATAGAAAGTGCCCAGAATCACACACATAACTCTGCAGCAGATAGATACTGTACATAGGTTTTCCTGGCAGACAAATAAATAAGAACAAGGATGTGTGTGGGTATAAATAGTGAAATCTATAGATCTAAGATTCATTGATTTCCTAAGATATATTTAACTGAAGTCAAAAACTCACTTCGGGCTGCAAGATCCATTGTATGAAATCTAGTAGATCAGTCAATCTCTTTGTGACTAAATAAATAATAATAATAATAATAATAATAAATATTATTTATATCCCGCCCTCCCCAGCCGAAGCCGGGCTCAGGGCGGTTAACAACAATCAAATAACAACAATCCATAAATGAAATGGATGTGTGTGTGTTTTTAAACTAGTTGGCATTAGAGAAGTATTTGTACTGTATTATCATGAGATTACTCTGGAATCTGAATCTGTTCCAAATTTGCCACCTATTTTTCAGCTGCTGTGTTCCACGTGAGAATTGCTTGTTCCATGCTTCCCACTTCTGAATAGTGAGACAGTACACGGGCATTGCTTGGGGTCCGCTGAAAGCACTGGAAAACATAAGGCATTTGATTCACAAACCTGCGTGTAGCCCCATTAGCGGCAAGAAGGGGAGAGGCTGCTTTTTACATCCTTGATCCTACACAGACCATCATCAGCCACCAGTATTCCTGAGAAGAGCCAAGAGCCGCAGTCCGTCCATCTGCAAGGGATGAGGAAAAGCTGTGCCCCAAAATATCTGGCGCTACCTGGTCCTGGTTGCTAGGCAGCAGAGGAGGGGGCGAGCTATTTCCCCACCTTTGTGGAGTTTTTCAAGCAGGATCAATAACGATCCCTATTGCATCTTTCCTCGAGAGGCGGGTACAGTTTGCAAAAACAACAACACCTGTAAAACAAGAAAATCCTTAATAAAATATTTTTTAAAAAACACATTTAAAAGACAGACAGATGATAGGCATCTGGGAGTCGCTATGATTTATAAACTAGATGTCTGGGATTTATCAATAACAACATATTTTATAAAATATACTGTTGATATAGGTATCTGGGATTTGTTATGGTGGAAAATCCCAGATACTGCTTATAATTTGTAAACTGTATTGTTCGATATAATATTGTATTTAATGATATAAATAATATGGTTGCATTTTTCGATTAAAAAAACAACAACAAAAAAAACACCTTTCCGTTCCTAGGAAGAGCAGTTTTCTTTAGGGTCCCTAAAACAAATTTTATTTTATTTTATTTTATTTTATTTTATTTTATTTTATTTTATTTTATTTTATTTTACATACAATGCAATACAACGCAATGCAATTTGCATTTCCATTCTTCTTCCCCCCCAGTGGGCGGAGCTTGACGCGGGGCAGCCCCCGCCCCTCGGGTGACGTCGACGCGCGCGTTCCGCCGGCGAGGCGTTCGCGCAGCGTGCACGGAAAAGGGGGCGGGCGTCGGGAAGCGGCCGCCGGCCCGAGGACGTTTGGCCTCTGCGGGCTTCCGTAGCTGGGAGTGCGCCGCCGGTTCCTGCCGTTTCCCCTCACGGCGCTCTCGCTGCGAGGCCGCGATGAGCGACAAGGGGGAGCTGGACCTGGCCGGGGCCAAGCAGAACACGGGCATGTGGCTCGTCAAGGTGAGGCCCGGCTATTGATAACGGACGCCAGGTTATTCACCTCAGAGGGTCGCCCTCAGGAGCGTCCCCGCCCCCCACGGAAACTGAGGGAAACAGGGGGGTTTGAAGCGCCCTCGGCCCCCCCCCCGGCCTTCTCAGGGGCCTCAGGCCGACGACCCCCCCCCTGCTCTGACCAACGGAGCTTCGGGGGCCGGGGGGGCGGTTTGACGACCCCACCCCCTCATAGAATTGCAGAGTTGGAAGGGACCCCGGGGGGTCATCTAGCCCAACCCCCTGCAACTCGGGGGTCTCAACTAGATCTCTCCCCCCCGCCCCACCTATCATCCATGAGAGGTGGCCGTCCAACCTCAGCTTAAAAACCCACCAAGGAAAGAGTCCCGCCACCTCCCGAGGGAGCCAGTTAGCGTCAGAAAGCTCTTCCTGATGTTTAGTCGGAGTAATAATATACAGTGGTGCCTCGGGTTACAAACGCTTCAGGTTACATACGCTTCAGGTTACAGACTCTGCTAACCCAGAAATAGTGCCTCGGGTTAAGAACTTTGCTTCAGGATGAGAACAGAAATCGGGCTCTGGCGGCAGCAGGAGGCCCCATTAGCTAAAGTGCCGCTTCAGGTTAAGAACAGTTTCAAGTTAAGTATGGACCTCCGGAATGAATTAAGTACAGTGGTGCCTCGCAAGACGAAATTAATCCGTTCCGCGGGTCTCTTCGTCTTGCGGTTTTTTCGTCTTGCGAAGCACGGCTATTAACAGCTTAGCGGCTTTAAGAAAAAGGGAAAAAACTCACAAGAACTCGCAAGACGTTTCGTCTTGCGAAGCAAGCCCCTAGGGAAATTCGTCTTGCGGAACGACTCAAAAAACAGAAAACCCTTTCGTCTAGCAGGTTTTTCGTCTTGCGGGGCATTCGTCTTGTGGGGCACCACTGTACGTAACCAGAGGTACCACTGTAATAGTACAGCGGGGAGGGGGGGCGGGGACACCTGCCCCAGCCGCCCCACTTCGGAAAGCTGTTCCGAAGCGGGGAGGGGGGGCGGGGACACCTGCCCCAGCCGCCCCACTTCGGAAAGCTGTTCCGAAGCGGGGAGGGGGGGCGGGGACACCTGCCCCAGCCGCCCCACTTCGGAAAGCTGTTCCGAAGCGGGGAGGGGGGGCGGGGACACCTGCCCCAGCCGCCCCACTTCGGAAAGCTGTTCCGAAGCGGGGAGGGGGGGCGGGGACAACTGCCCCAGCCGCCCCACTTCGGAAAGCTGTTCCGAAGCGGGGAGGGGGGGCGGGGACACCTGCCCCAGCCGCCCCACTTCGGAAAGCTGTTCCGAAGCGGGGAGGGGGGGCGGGGACACCTGCCCCAGCCGCCCCACTTCGGAAAGCTGTTCCGAAGCGGGGAGGGGGGCGGGGACACCTGCCCCAGCCGCCCCACTTCGGAAAGCTGTTCCGAAGCGGGGAGGGGGGGCGGGGACAACTGCCCCAGCCGCCCCACTTCGGAAAGCTGTTCCGAAGCGGGGAGGGGGGGCGGGGACAACTGCCCCAGCCGCCCCACTTTGGAAAGCTGTTCCGAAGCGGGGAGGGGGGCGGGGACACCTGCCCCAGCCGCCCCACTTCGGAAAGCTGTTCCGAAGCGGGGAGGGGGGGCGGGGACACCTGCCCCAGCCGCCCCACTTCGGAAAGCTGTTCCGAAGCGGGGAGGGGGGGCGGGGACACCTGCCCCAGCCGCCCCACTTCGGAAAGCTGTTCCGAAGCGGGGAGGGGGGGCGGGGACACCTTCTGAAGGCGGGCAGCCTGCCTTCCCAGGGGCTTTTAAATCGCCCCGGACAGCGGAGAAGTCCTCCGCTGTCCGGGGCGATTTTAAAATGCCGCCCGCCAGCATTTTAAGATTGCCCCGGACAGCGGAGAAGTCCTCCGCTGTCCCAGGGTTTTTTAAAATGCTGGGGGTGGGAAGAAAAGCCCTTGTTCCCCCCCCAGCCTTCAGAAGAGGTCCGGGGACAGACTGTCCCCGGACCTGGTCTGAAGGCGGTTTCCCTAGGAACGCATTAATTGATTTTCAATGCATTCCTATGGGAAACCGTGCATCGCAAGACGAAAAAACCGCAAGACGAAGAGACTTGCGGAACGAATTAATTTCGTCTTGCGAGGCACCACTGTAATTTATTATTTATAGCCTGCCCATCTGGCTAGGTTTCCCCAGCCACTTTGGGCGGCTCACAACAGAATATTAAAAACATGATAAAACATCAAACATTAAAAACTTCCCTAAACAGGGCTGCCTTCAGATGTCTTCTAAATGTCATATGGTGGCTCTTCTCATTGACATCTGATGGGTGGGCGTTCCACAGGGCGGATGCCACTACCGAGAAGGCCCTCTGCCTGGTTCCCTGTAAGCTCAGTTCTCGGACTGAGGGAACTGCCAGAAAGCCCTCGGAGCTGGACCTCAGTGTCCCAGCTTGAAGCCAGTGGTTCGAGTCCTACCCTCCTCTGGAGCGGGAGGAAACAAGCTTACTCCAACTTCCATTTGACAGCCCTTTAGATATTTGCAGATGGCTCTCACATCTCCTTTCAGTCTCCTCTTTATCAAGCTAAACATACCCAACTCCTTCAACTGTTCCTCTTAAGCAGGGGTCAGCAAACTTACTATGCCTCGGGCCGGTGTCTCCAACGCCAATCACGCGGCGGGCTGGAGGGCGGGGGAGCATGTGCCCATACTCGTAGGCAAACGCTGTTTCTGGTGCACTTCCGGGTCGGAGGAGCACCGAAAATAGCTTTATGTGCACGGGCCTCCTCCGACCCGGATGTGTACCGGAAATAACGCTTGTGCATGCACAAATAACGCTTGCGCATGCGCCCAAGCTATTTCTGGTGCTCCTCTGACCCGAAAGTGGGGAGCTGCGCAGCGCAACGCTGGTAAGAGGAGGCGGTGGCAGCAGGCGGTGGGGGTTGCTGCGGGCCGGATAAACGAGTCCCTGGGGCCTTATCCGGCCCATGGTCCTTATTTTGTGGACCCCTGCTCTTAAGGCTTGGTTTCCAGACCCTTGGTCATCTTGCTCATCCTCCTCTGTACATGTTCCAGCTTTTCAATATACTTCTTAAACTGTGGTGCCCAGAACTGGACACAGTATTACAGTTGTGGTCTGATCAAAGTGAAATAGAGCAGTGCTGTTACTTCATCAGGACACTATTCTGTTGATGCAGCCTAGAATATCATTAGCTTTTTTTTGTTGCTGCATGACACTGTTGTGTGTTGTTGACTCATGTTCAGCTTGTGGTATGCTAAGACACTTAGATCCTTTTCACAAGCACTGCTTGCAACCCAGGTGAGCCCCATCTTATATTTGTGCAGGTGATTATTCCTGTGTAGGTGTAGAACCTGACATTTGTCCCTGTTGAAATTAAATTTGTTTGGGCCCAGTTCTCAAATCTGTTAAGGTCATCTTGAATTCCAATTTTGTCTTCTGAACCATTAGCTGCTCCTCCCAGTTTTGTCTCATCTGCAAATCTGATGAGCATCCGCTCAGTTCCGTCATCCAATACATTCATAGAGATGTTGAACAATAGGCCCAGGACAGAACCCTGCAGCACTCCACTTGTCAATTTTTACCAGGATGATGAGGAACTATTAGTGAGCACTCTTTGGGTTCAGTCAGTCAACCAGCTACAGATTTACCTAAGTTATCTTGTCTAGCCCACATTTTATCAGTACCTCGCAATAATATAATGTCAAAAGCCTTACTGAAGACAAGATATACTACATCCACAGTATCCCCCTGATCCACCAAGCTTGCAACTGTATCAAAAAAGAAATGAGATTCTACTGGCATGACATGTTTTTGAGAAACCCATACCAGATTCTTAGTAATCACAGCATCCTTTTCTAAGGGCTCACAGACCAACAGTTGAATTATCTGTTCTAGGGTCTTTCCTAGTATCAGCGTCAAGCTCACCAGTCAGTAGTTACCTGGGTCTTCATTTTCTCCCCTTTTGAAGATGGGGGCAACAGTTGCCTGCCTCCAGTCTGCAGGGACCTCACTAGGACTGAATGATATCAGCTTTTCAACATTGTGATGTATCACCAGCCAACCATCATGATATAGCGATACATTGCAACGTTGAAAAGCGGAGGGAGGAACAAGTTACATTGGGCCTGGCTCCACAAGGTGCCAGGGTGAAACCACCGCAGCTCACTTGGCAGGAGCAGTGGCAGTTTCACCCCAGCACCTTGGAGGGCCATGGCTGATGGAGTTTGTTCCTCCACACGCCGGGTGCTGGTGGCAGAGGGTGTCCCTCCACTGTCAGTGCCCGACGCGCCAAGGAAAAAACATGCTTCATTGTCCACAGTGCCTTCGGGGCCAGGGCCCTTGTGGGGTGCCTCAGGGCTCCGTCCTCTCCCCATTCTTTTCAATATCTATATGAAACTGTTGGGAGGAATCATCGGGGTTGGGCTGGTTGTTCACCAATATGTGGATGATACTCATCTCTACCCATTGTTTAAATTGGAATCAGTGAAGGCATTGAACATCTTGTGTGAATGTCTGGAGGCAGTTGAAAATGTATGGCGGTTAACGGATTGAGGTTGAATCCCAACAAGACAGAAATACTGTTTCTGGAGTACAGGGGGCGAGCAGGTGTGGGGGACTCCTGGGTTTTGAATGGGTAACTGTGCCTCTGAAGGACAAGATGTGCAGTCTTGGGGTCATTTTGGACTCACAGCTGTTCATGGAGGCAGAAGTTAATTCTGTGTCCAGAGTGGTTATTTACCAGCTCCATATGGTATGCCTGCTGAGACCCTACCGGCCTGCACACTGTCTTGCCAGAGTGGTGCATTTTCTGGTTATCTCCTGCTTGGACTACTGCAATGTGCTCTGTGTGGGGCTACCTTTGAAGGTGACTTGGAAGCTACAGCTAATCCAGAATGTGGCTGTCAGATTGGTGACTACGAGTGGACACCGAGACCATATAACACTGGTCCTGAAAGATCTACATTGACTCCCAGTATGCTTCCAAGCACAAATGACTTTGGTCCTGTATACTTGAAGGAGGGTCTCCACCCGCATTGTTCAGCCTGGACGTTGAGGCCCAGTTCTGAGGGCCCTCACTGCGAGAAGTGAAGTTGCAGGGTACCCGGCAGAGGTCCTTGGTAGCGGTGCCCACTCTGTGGTACACCCTCCCATCAGATGTCAAAGAGATAACAATTATACAACCTTCTGTAGACATCTGCAGGCAGCCTAGTATTGGGAAGCTTTTAATACCTGGGTGGAAGGAGCGGCAGAATGGGGAGGCCAAGCAGGCCTGGCATAGCAGACAACCATATGCAGCAGCTTGTAGAAATCGCACTCCAAGGGCGCAGTCCTGGCTGCAGGAGTCTGTTTCACCAGCCTGTTTGCTGCAAGGAATGCATTGACAAAGCAGCACCAGCAGAATTGAAGCCTCCTGCTCTCTGCAGTGTAGTCAGACAAAGAGGAAAGGAGAGGCAGCGCCTGCTTGCCCGGCCCTTTTCCTGACTAGATAGGTTTTATAAATCCCTACATAAGCCACACTCCCAAATTGATTTGAGGCTGTATCTGGGTCAGGTGTTCCCCAGGTCACTATGGCCGCGGGTTGATGTGCACATGGACAGCCTTAAAACCAACAAATTGCACTATCTGTTTAAAAATTTCTATATTATTTGGTATCTTAGCATTCCCTGGTAAGGCTGGGCACTTTCAGCTAGTAAATTTAATAATATAAATAAATTCTGGCCCTGGCAAAAAAGATTGGAGTGGGGACAATACACAGACTGATCAAGACTGAGCAAGGACTACACATAGGTAGATCTGGCAGTGCTTTTTAACACTGGTGTGTTTTCTGGCCTTGAAACAGCTTGTGTTTCTGACTGTGGCAGGCTTTCTGACCATGGATGCTGTTACTGACATCTTTGCTTTGCTAAATGAAGAGGGCGGGGGTATGATTTTGTTCATTTCTATGCAAGGAGAAGGGAGCCTGAACTCACCTCCCTGCCTTATTTCGGCAATGGGAGCCAGGTTCTGTTAGTTTTCTCTTTTACTGAAGTGTGGTGCTTGAATTAGTGGGGAATGGAGCTATCGTAGCCTCCTTGCCACTGGCTTTCCTGCCCTCCTTATCCGTCACCACAGCACCTGATAGAACTGCTTTTTGAAGCCTGGATGGGTAGGAGAAAGTGTGCACACACATGCATGGCAGAAGGCTTTCCAGCCTCTTCTGAGGACAAAAAAATGGGAATAGGTGGGGGAGGGGGGAGAAATGAAATGAGAGCATGGCCAATGAGGCTTTTCTGCTCTGTTAGGAAGCTCCTGGGAGAGAGAATTTAAAGGGGAGGGGGAGTGTGTGTGTGTGTGTGTGTGTGTGTGTGAGAGAGAGAGAGAGAGAGAGAGAGAGAGAGAGAGAGAAAGTGAATGAATATAGGAGGGAGCATACCTGGCCAGAGCAACTCTCCCCATGTGCTTCTGCTTTCTTTTTTGGTTTATGAAGAATCTTGGCTATGGACTTTGATTACTTGGGTGCCAAACTGCTCTGTTTGCTCCTTTTAAAAACTTAATTTCCAACTTTCTATACTCCCATCAAAGAAAAACAACAACAACAAAACAAACCTAGCTGAATTTTCGAAGAGCCTCCTCTGGCAGTCATTCTCTCACCACTTGCAGTTTCCTTTGTCTTCAAGGCTCTCCCATCATCAATCTTTGGTCCTAAACGTTCTTTTTCTTTTTTTACTGGGTTTGTAAATTAGGGTGATGGTTGGGAAGAGAGAAAAGATCAGGCTTGGCAAAACAGAACTTAGCCCATGTTTCTAAACAAATTTGGTAGTGTAGTGGGAATATGCTATAGCATTATCATGGAAAAATAATGAATTATATCAATTTCAGGGAAAAGATACAAAGATGGGATTTATTTAATTTTAAAAAACCTTTATTAATTTCTGCAGTGTTAGTAGTCTGTAGACAAATGTATTATGTTTGAAAACTCTCTTACTACTTGTGTGCCAATCATTATAATGTTAATAAAAAGTAAAGGTGATGCATATCCTGTTCTCCCTCTTGTAATTCATTTTAAAACAATAGTGCTACAAATTGTGATCAGTGCTTTGTTTGATTTGTAATTATATTGTTTGAAATTCATGAATATGATTCTATTGTAATGCTGATGTTCTCTTTGTTCTTTACTGCTTAAGAAAGCAAGCTATAATATATTTTGATTTAGTGTTGCTTTCTTCTACATCCTGAAATATGTAGTTCTTCCTGTCTCAGGATTGAAAGAGTGGGGGAAGAGAGAGAAAATTAAAGTACATGTTTCTTTTCTGTATGTACTCACTGGATTTTATTTTATTTTGTTGCCTTTTTTATAGGTTCCAAAATACTTATCACAACAGTGGAATAAGGCTTCAGGAAGAGGTGAAGTTGGGAAGCTAAGAATTGCCAAGTAAGAGTGCTTATATTTTGCATTCAGATTTTCTTTTGTTTGGGTAGTGGATGGGGTAGGGGGGAGAAGGAACTACAGGGGTGCCCTGCAAGACGAATGCCTCGCAAGACGGAAAACCCGCTAGACGAAAGGGTTTTCCGTTTTGGAGGTGCTTCGCAAAACAAATTTCCTATGGGCTTGCTTCGCAAGACGAAAATGTCTTGCGAGTTCTTGCAGGGTTTTTTTCCTCCCCCCCCCTTTCCCCCAAACCGCTGAGCCACTTATCAGCTGATCCGCTAAGCCGCTTAACAGCTGAGCCGCTAAGCCGCTTAACAGCTGGTCGCTAAGCCGCTTAGCAGCTGATCCGCTAAGCCGCTTAGCAGCTGATCCGCTAAGCCGCTTAGCAGCTGATCCGCTAAGCCGCTTAGCAGCTGATCCGCTAAGCCGCTTATAAGCTGATCCGCTAAGCCGCTAATAGTGCTAATCCGCTAAGCCGCTAATGGGCTTGCTTCGCAAGACGAAAAAACCGCAAGACGAAGAGACTCGCGGAATGGATTCTTGTCGTCTTGCGAGGCACCACTGTACTGTGGAACCTTTTTGGCTTACAGTTTGTTTCTTATTTGAGACACATCTGATAGTATAGTTGCTGAATAGTATAGTTCCTGAATCATTATGATTGTATGTGATACTCAGGCACCGCTTTGCAATAACACAGTCTGGCTCTAAATACAGCCTTTGAGATGAGGCATTTTAATATGCCCTGTGAGGCCTAGAATCCTGCCCATATAAGCCAGGTGCCGGTTTTTATATTTCTTTCTTGTCCATTTGGCTCTGGATATGGTCCTTTTGGAGAAATTGTATACTTCAGATGTACAAATGAACGGCAGTATCGAGAGGGAATATGTGATCTTGCTTCGAGAGATCACTGGGCCCACAGAGTTATAATAGCCCCCCCCAACTGCATATAACAGAACAGTTCCCTAAACTAATAACGTGGCTTGATTCCTTCAATAAATATGAATGTGCAACTTCCCAAGCAAACAGAAAGTAAGACATTGACATGTTCTCAAATTATTATTTTATTTATATCCCATTGTTCCTCAAAGGAGCTTAGGGTGGCATTCATAGTTCTCCTCCCCATTTTATCCTCCCAACAACCCTGTGAGGTAGGTTAGATTGAGGGTGAGTGAGTGAGAGTGAGCTCCATGGCTACCAGGAGATTTGAAGCCTGGTCTCCCTGGTCTCAGTCCAGCAATCTAACTGCTACACCACTCTGGCTCTCATCTTTCCTTGAAGCTAAACGTTCCTGGTTCTTTGCTCTGATGTCACATGCCTTACATTTCACACATTTTATCCGTTTTGAACACTCTGAATCCTTCCTGGTTTGAATCCATCTTACTTCGAACACAGTGACCAAAATTGGACAGGGTTGTTCTATACAGTGCTGAGTGGGACACACCGATTGCATTCTTTTTCAGCATGTAAGTCTTTGGGTCATCCCCCCCTTTTTTTGTAACCATCATGGTGCTGATTTAGATTCTGACAATAGTCTAGTTGCAAGTCCATCTCAGTTACCAAAGCCTAGCCAGTCTCCTAGTCTCATTCCCTTGGATCCAAATGGGTTCTGTGTGAACTGAAATTCTGGGTGAACTTAAGGGTGAGTCCTCTTCTTGCTGTGACTTCTCTCACTGCATGTGAGAGTGCCCCAGTCATCAGGAGCAGATTTAGTGGGAGGGAGCAAGGCGATGCAAAGAGAATAGGAAAGCCAAAACCCCCCAGTTCTGTGGTGAAACTATTTTCTGCACATGGAACTGGAGCCCAAACCATCTATAGCAGGCACGTCCAACTCCTAAGAGACAGCGATCTACTCCTAGTATAAAAAAACTGGCAGTGATCTACCTATTGTCACTGGAGAGCGGAGGAGGGTGGGTGGATTGCACAGAGTTTTTTAGCTTTCCCCCCATAACTTTTTGTACACGATAAGGATCCCGCGATCTACCACGATCAGCCGGGGATCTACCAGTAGATCACAATCAGCTGGTTGGACATCCCTGATCTATAGCATTGAAATACATGTGTGCATATGTCCTACCTATTGCATCCTTAAGAGGCCTTTCGTCATTTCCCTCCAGGCTTATTTCCTCTGCTGATGCCCTGATGTGGAGGGCTTTCAGTTCCTTAGCTGGGTACAGGCTCAGAGCATGTGAATTCTGGCTGTCCCAATTCGGGACTCACTGGCTCCAGTGCTGCTGGTATCACAGAACTGGTTGGTTTCTCTTTGTTGGAGCTGAAACCTAGGCAGCAGAGGGAGGGGAGAGCCCTGAAAATACCACAATGATTCCCCAGTTATATAGCATTTAGATTCCTCAGGAGGGATTTGTTTTTATTCCTTGTACTCCAGTAGTCATAAGAAATAATTAAAATACTGTATCCTTTTGCTTTTTTCCATAGGAATCAAGGAAGAACAGAAGTAAGTAGATAAAATACAAGTATTATGAAAGTATAATTTGTATTGGAGTATATTGGAATAGGATAGGTGGGCTACATATTTTTATGTTCTGTGTTGTATTCTATCTAACAGTATAATCCTTTTCTGAGAAGGTACATGTTATCTTTTCTGTTTCACACTTGTGAAACTTAAATAGAATTGCTAAATAAACTAACATTTATTAATTCCCTTTAACAGAGCTTGTGTGAAAGCTAGAGATTGGGGTGCTTAACCCTTTTGTTTATTCCTTTTCCCCTCCTACAAAAAGTATGCAAGACACTATTTTAATGTTTAAATAACAATAACTCTTACTTACTGTGTCCTTGCACTTGTTAGATTAAGTGCAAATGTACAAGGCAGGGAGGTATTACTTATGTTACTAATGTATTACATAAATTTATCACAAAGACTAAAACTCTTGCAGACGCTGACTAACTCTAAGGCAGACAGCAGCAGAACAGAACAGACCCCCTGCTCAGCTGCTCTAACAGCACACAAAAAACTGTTATTAAAGATTGTTATTAACTGACATAACTGTACTACCTTACACAGCTGTCTCAGGCACAAGGTATATGTCCTCACCAGATTCTTTCTTAGAATGTTGCAGTCCTTGTGAGTATTCACCCATTACATAGCATCTTGGATGCTCATGTCTCACTGTAAACCCTACACAAATCCAGAGTGGAGTCCCTAGGCATCTTGTACTCTTCCTTCTGGCAACTCCTGCAGCCAAGCTGGTGTCAAATGTAGTCCAAAGGAAAGCAAAGTAGTATATCAGCAAGACTGAGGGGGAGCTGGGGAAACCCAGCCAGATAGGTGGGTTTCTCCCGGCATGCCCCACGGAGGACCTTAAGGTCCATAAATAGCATCAGCCTAGTTGTCCCGGGCCCTAAAGAAGTTAGATTAGCTTCAACCAGAGCCAGGGCCTTTTCAACACTGGCCCCAGCCTGGTGGAACGCTCTGCCTCATGAGACCAGGGCCCTGCAGAATCTGATTTCTTTCCGCAGGGCCTGTAAGACAGAGTTGTTCCGCCTGGCCTTTGGCTTGGAGCCAATTTGATTCCTTCCCTCTCTTTCTTTTCCTTTCTCCTCCTGTGATGAGGCTGCATTTTAATATTTTAATGTTTAAATATTTTAATGTTGTATTTTAATCTTGTTTTTAAGTTGTATTCATTCAACTTGTTTTTATTATTGCTTGCTAGCTGCCCTGAGCCCGGCCTTGGCTGGGGAGGGTGGGGTATAAATAAAAAATATTATTATTATTATAATTATTAATAATAATAATTAGTTGTTGTTGTCTGGGCAGCCCAGGACTTCCATATATACAGGCTTGTGCCCTGGAGAGGTTACGTCAGTGCTGGTAATGCAGCAAAAACAATGCAGGAAGCAGCACTTTACTCCTGATGGCAAACTCTTCCTTTGTCTCTCGAGACAGACAGATGCCAACAACATTGAACAATGAATTAATTCTCCAAAGCAGTCGACAATTCTTTTCCATAAGAAATATTTATTGCAGTGTTTGTTTTTCAGGTATCTTTCACTTTGAACGAAGATCTTGCCAACATTGATGATATTGGTGGGAAGCCAACTTCCATCAGCGCACCCAGAGAACACCCTTTTCTCTTACAAAGTGTTGGAGGACAGATGTTAACCGTGTTTACAGAGAGTTCACTGGGTAAGTTGGAGGAAAATTGATAGTTAACTAAAGTTTTGCAAAATGAGAGGTGTTTGCTAAGTTGAACGTCTACATCCAGATTTTTTTGAGATGGTTTCTTTGGTTTGGACTTTTTCTGTTTTGGTTCTTGTGGTGTAGCATAAACAATTAAAAGCGACCCCTGACTATTAGGTCCAGTCGTGACCGACTCTGGGGTTGCGGCGCTCATCTCGCTTTCTGGCCGAGGGAGCCGGCATACAGCTTCCGGGTCATGTGGCCAGCATGACTAAGCCGCTTCTGGTGAACCAGAGCAGCGCACGGAAACACCATTTCCCTTCCCGCCGGAGCGGTACCTATTTATCTACTTGCACTTTGACGTGCTTTCGAACTGCTAGGTTGGCAGGAGCAGGGACCGAGCAACGGGAGCTCACCCCATTGTGGGGATTCGAACCGCTGACCTTCTGATCAGCAAGTCCTAGGCTCTGTGGTTTAACACACAGCGCCACCCGCGTCCCAGCATAAACAATTAGTATGGAACAAAATGATGGCAGTTGCCAGATTCAAAATTTTAAACTCTGAACGTTTTTGTAGGCAGATTCTTTTGTATTAAAATGTCATAAGAACATAAGAAGAGCCGGCTGAATTAGGCAAATGGTCGATCTAACCCATTATCCTGTTCTCATGGTGGCCCACCAGATCATAGAACTGTGGAATTGAAAGGGATCCAGAAGGTTATGCAATGCAGGAATCTCAACTAAAGCATCCATGGCAGAGGGCCATCCAACCTCTGCTTCAAACCTCCAAGTGAGGAGAGTCCACCACCTCCTGAGGGAGTCTTTTCTACTGTTGAACAGCTCTTACTGTCAGAAAGTTGTCCCTGATGTTTCCTCAGACTCTCTCTTCTTGTAACTTGAAGCCATTGGTTCGAATCCATTTGGAGCAGGAGAAAACAGTCTTTCTCCATTAAAAAAGAAGAAGAAGCTCCTTAAGTTTTTTGAAATTGGGCTTCCTAAAGTCCAGAGTACATGTTTGACTCCACTCAGCTTTCCCTTGCCTCTACATCCCAGGAGGACATGATCACTTCCCCCCAAATTTCCCAGTACTTCCACTGGGAAGTGTGGTGTAGTGGTTAAGAGCAGTAGTCTCGTAATCTGGTGAACCGGGTTCGCGTCTCCGCTCCTCCACATGCAGCTGCTGGGTGACCTTGGGCCAGTCACACTTCTTTGAAGTCTCTCAGCCCCACTCACCTCACAGAGTGTTTGTTGTGGGGGAGGAAGGGAAAGGAGATTGTTAGCCGCTTTGAGACTCCTGAAGGGGAGTGAAAGGCGGGATATCAAATCCAAACTCTTCTTCTTCTTATTTGTTGATCAATTCTTCCCTATTGGTGAGGACCAGGTCCAAGACAGATGATCCCCTTGTTGCTTCTTTCCACTTTTGGGGAAGCAAAATGTGGGAGGCAATGGAGGAATTTGTTGGACCTTTCTCTGAAATCATTGGCTTGGAATGTAGCAAATGGGTTATCGGCATACTCATTCATGATCAGTAGCCTTGGATGGGAAGAGGCTAGGTCTAGTATGGACAGTGGGTGGAAGAATCGAACCCTGATGTTGGGTCACATAAGTTATGAGAGGGAACCATATAAATGTTTCTGTTTCATCAAAGCTTTGGCGCCTAGTACCCCCTCCCATGTGTGGTGCCATTTGGCTATCAATTCCATGCATTTGATTCAAGGTAATATGTTATACAGCAGTGTTCCCCAACCTTGGGCCTCCAGCTGTTTTTGGACTACAACTCCCATCATCCCTCGCTAGCAAGACCAGTGGTCAAGGATGATGGGAATTGTAGTCCAAAAAACAGCTGGAGGCCCAAGGTTGGGGAACACTGTTATACAGTATATGTGGGGCTACGTTTTGAAAATGGCCTGTAAACTACAACGGTCCTGGAAAATGACAGCTAGATTGTTAATAGGGACCAGATGCTTTGGCCTTATTATTCTGATCCTTGCCTCCCCTCTAACAGACTTTGATTGATTTATTTATATGGTTGATTTTAAATTTGACTGTTGTCTATTGTTCTCAGAGCTGGAATATCTCTTTAAAAGGGGGGTGCTGCTTAGTTGGCTGGTAAATGTGAGCCCTAGTTATTTGACTTTGCTGAGCTATTTTTTGTTGTTGTCTGTGCATGAAATATAAACTACATTTTGTTCTGTAAACATTGCCATATGTACATAACTGGTTGCCATGCAACAGTGCAATTTGTGCTACCCATTGTTTTGTCTTTATTGCTGTCCCAGTTCTACGTCTCTTGCATATATTTCAATATTAATAGGCCACCATGAGCAAATTAGGTGTTTCTTTTCCCAAATATACACTTACTGTGTAACCTGGCGAACAATTACACACTATTTTAAATTAAGACTGGCATTTCTATCAGCCTAACAGCAGTAAAATGCTGCTGTAGAGTAAAAAAAAAAAAAAGCAGACACAATGGTGGTTCATTGCTGCAGTTTCCAGATATGAGTAAAGTGACAGCTTGGTAGATCACATGTTTTGCATTTAAAGATTTCAGGTTCTGTTCTCAGAACTTTCAATTAAAGTAGTGTTTTAAGACTTCAGAATTTAGCACACCTGTTCTAAACTCATCTGCTTTCTATGGACCAGCCATCCAGGATCAGATGTCTGTTCCACGGGAGAGATCCTTTCGCAAAGCAATGTGTATTGTGTTCAAGAATCTGTGGATAAGAAGTAATCTCACGCTAGCATTAGAAGAAAAATATAGCTCTATATCTCTATCCCTCTAAACCCACATAATGGCATAAACAGTAACTTTTACTGCTTTTGCCAGTGTCTTGTAGTGGTTAGAGTGTTGGACTAGGACCTTGAAGACCAGGGTTCAAGTCCCTACTCAGCCATGAAGCCTGTTTGGTGACCTTGTGCTTACTCTCTCTCTGCCTAACCCACTGCACAGTCGTTTGTGAGGATAAAATGGAGAGGAGAACCATGAATGCTACACTGAGTTCCTTGGATGTAATCTGGAATTTACATGTAATAGTTCTTAATAATATTAAGTCCATGAAAGCGTATCATAATGAATTCATTATAAATAATCTTCAAGAGGCCACCAAACCTGTTGCTGTTTTTTGCTGCGGCAGAGTAACACAATTACCCCAATGGGAATTTGTTGTACTTGTTATAATGGCATTCTCATTTATTTGCATTTATGTTGCTGAATTCTATTACCGGCTTTTGATAAATGAACTCTTGAGTTTCTATTTCTGCTGCCATTATAATGGTGTATGTTGAATTGCAGTCATACCTCGGGTTGAAGTTGCTTCAGGTTGAGCGTTTTTGGGTTGCGCTCCGTGGCGACCTGGAAGTAACGGAACATGTTACTTCCGGGTTTCGCTGCTCGTGCATGCGCAGACGCTCAAAATGAAGTCATGCGCAGAAGTGGTGAATCGCGACATGTGCAGGCGTGGGTTGCGTTCTGCTCTGGATGCGAACGGGGCTCCAGAACAGATCCCGTTCGTATCCAGAGGTACTACTGTATTAGGAATTGGCATTGATTATTGAAATAGTATGTTCATTTGATTATAACAATTTTTACCATAATAGAATATTGCTTTGACTTGTATCTGGTATGAACCCACTTTGGGTCCAGAAATGGCACATTCTTCCCCTCCCCTTTCAGATCCACTGTCCTCCTGGAAGCCCAACCCACAAATCTTTGGTTCTCAAGTTACCTGGTGTTAGGTAGCGCAGGTACGAAATGCCTCTGTCTGAGACCTTGGAAAGTCTCTGCCCATCAGAGTAGGGAAGACAGTGGTACCGCGGGTTAAGAATTTAATTCGTTCTTGAGGTCTGTTCTTAACCTGAAACTGTTCTTAACCTGAAGCACCACTTTAGCTAATGGGACCTCCTGCTGCTGCACGATTTCTGTTCTCATCCTGAAGCAAAGTTCTTAACCCGAGGTAATATTTCTGGGTTAGCGGAGTCTGTAACCTGAAGCGTCTGTAAGCTGAAGCGTATGTAACCCGAGGTATTACTGTACTGAATTAGATGAACTAAAGGCCTGACTTGGTCAAAGGCAGCTCCATGAGTTCTTATTTCATTTCCAAATTGGATGTGATTCCTGCTTTATTAGTAACCAGGAAGACATTTTGAGAATACCGTATTTTTCTCTCTATTACACGCAGATTTTTTCTCCTAAAAAGGAAGGGGAAATGTCTGTGCGTGTTATGGAGCGAATGTGGGGGGTCCCTGGAGCCGATTAGGGGAGCGCAGGAACAAAAATAAGCAAAAATCAAATCGTGCGTTGCTTCGGAGAGGGAAACCTGAAAAGAGGAAGTGGCTGCTTTCCTGCATTCTGCCTCAGGGTCTTACTGCCCATTCGCTTGTGTTTCATTGCTGTGTTTGCTCAAACGGAACAAAGAGCAGGCAAATCCCCTCCCCTCCAGGCAAGCAGAGGGGAAAGCAGAGGTCTTTCCTTCTAATTCCTCTCCGTGCTCCTCGCAGGCAGCCAGAAAACATGCAGGAGAGAGAGAGCTGGCTTCAGTTTGGGGAAACTTTTACTTTTCTTTCCTCCCTCCCGTTAAATCCCTCTCCTGGATTATTAGCCAGCTGCTTCTCTGCACACCGCTGTCTTGTCCCTTCTGTGTTTTTCCTTCCCTCCCCACTTAAAATGTAGTTACAAAGCATGGATCCACATGGATCCTCAGGATCTTTGCATTGGGCCACCCCAAATTCACCATCAGATCACATAGCAGCCTGCCCCCCAAAAAATCACACACCCACTGTTGCCTGGGGCTGCAATGGTGCAAAAACATGGTTAAAAAGCATGGATCCACATGGATCCTCAGGATCTACGGGTTGGGCCACCCCAAATTCACCATCAGATCACATAGCAGCCTGCCCCCCAAAAATCACACACCCACTGTTGCCTGGGGCTGCAATGGTGCAAAAACATGGTTAAAAAGCATGGATCCACATGGATCCTCAGGATCTTTGGATTGGGCCACCCCAAATTCACCATCAGATCACATAGCAGCCTGCCCCCCAAAAATCACACACCCACTGTTGCCTGGGGCTGCAATGGTGCAAAAATGTGGTTAAAAAGCATGGATCCACATGGATCCTCAGGATCTTTGCATTGAGCTACCCCAAATTCACCATCAGATCACATGTCTGTGGCCACAGCATGAAGCACAAAAATGATACATCCACTGTTTCATTCAGAATTTTTTCCCTTGTTTTCCTCCTCTAAAAACGATGTGCGTGTTATGGTCAGGTGCGTGTTATAGAGTGAAAAATACGGTATATATGAATTTATATGTACAAAAATAGCAGAGCCACAACCCTTGAACACTTAAGCCATGCCTGCATCATTTTCCTTCTGTGCAAATTAAGCTATTTTGTTTACGTGTGCTTGGTTTCCTTGCAGTTTATAGGCTAGCCGGCGACTGAAGTTTTCTGACTTTACAGGGATTAAAAATAAAATAAAATAAAATACTATAGAATTTAAGAACAAAGAAGCAGAAGCAAGGGACATGATTTTGTGCTGCTGTATGGAGAGTTGGTACTGGAAGTTTTAAGGAACGAGTGAAATTTATAGCAATATGTTCCCGCAACAAAGCAAGATGGAAATGAAGTGGTATTAGTGTCTAAACAGAGTTAAAATACATGTTTTTTACTTCAAGAATCTAAAATATGCCGGAAATGGAAAATATATTAAGTGGCCTTTCTTCAAGGATGGAATAATAATAATAATAATAATAATAATAATAATAATAATAATAATAATAATAATTTATTATTTATACCCCGCCCATCTGGCTGAGTTTCCCCAGCCACTCTGGGCGGCTCCCAATCAAGTGTTAAAAACAGTACAGCGTTAAATATTAAAAACTTCCCTGAACAGGGCTGCCTTCAGATGTCTTTTAAAGATAGGATAGCTGCTTATTTCCTTCACATCTGAAGGGAGGGTGTTCCACAGGGTGGGTGCCACTACCGAGATGGCCCTCTGTCTGGTTCCCTGTAACCTCACTTCCCTGTAACCTCACTTCTCGCAATGAGGGAACCGCCAGAAGGCCCTTGGCGCTGGATCTCAGTGTCCGGGCTGAACGATGGGGGTGGAGATGCTCCTTCAGGTATATTGGACCGAGGCCGTTTAGGGCTTTAAAGGTCAGCACCAACACTTTGAATTGTGCTTGGAAACGTACTAGGAGCCAGTGGTAGGGTAACAAAATATTAATTCACCCTGCCTTTGCTTAACTAACTTTTAGAAGGGACCCATCATAGTTCAAGACTGGGAGCTGTGCCATCTGCTCTGTATACCTTGCACCTTTAGTCTGATAACATAAAAAACCGAGTATGTCCCACCCCCTGCCCCCCCATAATTCACACTGAAAAAAGTAGGATTTATTTGCTACTTTTTATTTATATAGAAGATTGAAACTCGGGGGTTTGGGATAGACTGAACACTTTGTGTTGAAGGAGAAAAATGCACTTTGGACATTCTCTGAGGCCATTCCTACATTTTAGGAGTGAGTTCTGGCCCCCAATTAAGGTTGCAAACCCGTGTACATTCAGGAGTAAGTCCCATTGAATTCAGTGTGATTTGCTTCCGACTAAACATGCAAACAACTGCCCTGCCACTCCCAGTTGGTGATCATATCAGATGTTGCCTGGGGGGGAGCAGGTGTGGGATACTCCCTGGCCCTGAATGGGGTAACTGTGCCCCCAAAAGACCAGGTGCACAGCCTGGGGGTCAATTTGGACTCACGTGGAGGCGCAGGTCAATTCTGTGTCCAGGGCAGCTGTCTACCAGCTCCATCTGGTATGCAGGCTGAGACCCTATCTGCCCGCAGACTGTCTCACCAGAGTGGTGCATGCTCTGGTTATTTCCTGCTTGGACTACTGCAATGCACTCTACGTGGGGCTACCTTTGAAGGTGACCCGGAAACTACAACTAATCCAGAATGCGGCGGCCAGACTGGTGACTGGGAGTGGCCACAAAGACCTATAACACTGGTCCTGAAAGACCAGTATGTTTCCGAGCACAATTCAAAGTGTTGGTGCTGTCCTTTAAAGCCCTAAATGGCCTCAGCCTTTACCTGAAGGAGCATCTCCATCCCCATCATTCAGCCCGGACACTGAGGTCCAGTGCCCAGGTCCTTCTGGCGATTCCCTCACTGCAAGAAGTGAGGTTACAGGGAACCAGGCAGAGGGACTTCTCGGTAGTGGCGCCCGCCGTGTGGAACGCCCACCCATCAGATGTCAATGAGAAGAGCAACCATATGACATTTAGAAGACATCTGAAGGCAGCCCTGTTTAGGGAAGTTTTTAATGTTTGAAGTTTTATTCTGTTTTTAATGTTCTGTTGGGACCCACCCAGAGTGGCTGGGGAAACCCAACCAGATGGGCGGGGTATAAATACTACTACTACTACTACTACACAAAATTTTACATTTGAGAATCAGTTTTCTGGCACGGTTGGACTTTGGCAAGTTATCTCTTGGCGCCAGACTCTGTGTGATGTTAAATTCGCATGTAATGTTGCATGTAATTTTACTCTTAATCATGGGGCTGTTAGCGTTAAAGTGGGAGGAAGTGGTGCCACCTCCACTACACAACCTCATAATCCAGGCTGGGTGCTGATTCTCCTGCTCTAAACCCCAATTTTATAGCTTAGGTGGGACAGATGGTTCTAGAAAGAGGGGTGAAAGAGCTTCAAACAGTAGATCATGATTGACTGAAAAGCCTTATGTTGTTCAGGATTGGACTACAGGGAGTTCATAGCATTCCATAAGGTTGGGTTACAAATAGGAACACTATTAATATTGAACTGTAAAGTCCTAAACCTTATTTTATTGTCATTTGCAGAAAGTCAGACAGATGAAAAACCTGAAATCAGCAACAGTGGTAAGTGTTGGCTGCAATAACTTGTTTACGGAGATAATAAAAAACAACACTAACTGATTCATTGCTACAAATTCCTTGAATTGTTCAAAATCTATTGTTTATGCAGGTGGTTACATTGAAACTTTTAAAACGTTTGGATGTATTTCTGGTTTCCTTTGGCTACTTAATATCATTGCAGTTTGCAAATGCTTGGTGAGGGAATTTCACAAGCAAGTTATGATCGTCTTCATTTCAAAAAAACACTTCGGGTTTTGTGAAATATAACAAATAATCACAATTGTATGGGGATGGACAGACTTGCATGATCTGGTGCAAAAGGCAGAGAATTCCATAAATCTGAGTCCAAGGATTTGTGAGTATCAAAACTCTAATAGAGACCTTCTGCAAACACATCCAGTTGTGGATACCTCAAACTCTCTTCATTGCAGCCATATAATTTAGGGTGGGGGTTATTTTCTTGCTGGTATTATTCCGTGGATGTGCGACTTCCTGCTCCCAAGGCAGTTAAAGGTTGCCTGTTCGGCAAGGTTGGTTCTGTTTTAATTTTTTATAGTTCCCATAAAGGTAAAGGATCCCTAACAATTAAGTCCAGTCGCAGATGACTCTGGGGTTGCGGTGCTCATCTCGCTTTATTGGCCGAGGGAGCCGGCGTACAGCTTCCGGGTCATGTGGCCAGCATGTCTAAGCCACTTCTGGCGAACCAGAGCAGCTCACGGAAATGCCGTTTACTTTCCTGCCGGAGCGGTACCTATTTATCTACTTGCACTTTTGGCCTGCTTTTGAACTGCTAGGTGGGCAGGAGCTGGGACCGAGCAACAGGAGCTCACCCCATCGTGGGGACTCAAACCGCCGACCTTCTGATCGGCAAACCCAAGAAGCTCAGTGGTTTAGACCACAGTGCCACCCGTGTCCCTTACCAATTACCGTATTTTTTTGCTCTATAAGACTCACTTTTTCCTTCCTAAAATGTAAGGGGAAATATGTGTGCGTCTTATGGAGCGAATGCAGGCTGCGCAGCTATCCCAGAAGCCAGAACAGCAAGAGGGATTGCTGCTTTCACTGTGCAGCGATCCCTCTTGCTGTTCTGGCTTCTGGGATTCAGAATATTGTTTTTCTTGTTTTCCTCTTCCAAAAACTAGGTGCGTCTTGTGGTCTGGTGCGTCTTATAGAGCAAAAAATATGGTATCTTAGTCTGGTGTTTAACAAAAGCCTCCAGGAAGACCCAAGTTTGCAAGCTTGGAAGGCTGTTCCATGCAGTCACAGTCACAAAACAGTTTGCTGATCTCCCAGTACAGGCATGACCACTACCCAGTCCTGTTTTGTGACTGTGACTGCATGGAACAGGCTTCCAAGCTTGCAAACTTGGGTCTTCCTGGAGGCTGATCTCCCAGTACAGGCATGACCACTACCCAGTCCTCCTTAAAAATTATCTCATTTCAATGACAAAGATTTGGACTCAGCAGTTAAAAGAACTTGAACTGAGGCTGCCATATAGTGAGATTACCCGGACACAATTGTGTTGTAGGAATCTCATGAACACAAATCCTCCAAGTCACCTTTACCTAAGGCAGTGTTTCCCAACCTTTTTTGGGCAAAGGCACACTTGTTTCATGAAAAAAATCTCGAGGCACACCACAGCCCCGTGACGTCAGCGCGCAGCGTCACGCCGGGAGGGACGCACGAAAGTGTAAGTTTCAATTCCCCCCCTTGCCTTCCTTCTGTGCCCACCGCCAAAAAGCCAAGAATCGTGGGACCGCCGGCGGAGGGGGGGAGGGCGAGCGGAGGCAGCGGCGAGCCCCGTTCCTCCCCATCCGCCCCATTCCGTGCAAGGAGCGCGAACAGGCATGAGAAGGGGGTCAAACCTGCGGGCCGGCGCCGGGGAACCTCCAAGCTTTGGGGGTGGGGGGGGAGGAGGCAGCAAAGCGAGGCAGGAAGGAGAGCGTGGCTTGGCTGGGTGAGCTTTGGCAGGGGCAGGGAATGAGAGCCGCGAGGCGGGCGCTGCGGACGGAGGCGCTGCCCGCCGAGCTCGCAGGCAGCCAGGCAGGCAGACGGCGAGAGCCCCGCGCTGGGCGGCCTCTCCTGGGAAGTTTCAAAGCTGTAGTTAACTTTTTTAGATTATTATTTAAAAAATTGAATGCTGGAGCACGATTTCTGTTCTCATCCTGAAGCAAAGTTCTTAACCCAAGGTAATATTTCTGGGTTAGTGGAGTCTGTAACCTGAAGCCTCAGTTACCCGAGGTACCACTGTCCCATGTAATGTAGTTTTGTGTTTTTGTGTTGTGAGCCTTGGATGTTAAACAGCCACCACCACCGCAGGCCCTTAAAAACAAGGTACTTTCATATTCATCTTTACTTGGAGGCAAGCCTCCCTCTTCCCAAGGGGGCCACTTCCCAATTCAGAGTGCTTGGCATCCTAAGGAGGGGAGCAGCGCTGGATTTGGGACGCTGCTGGCGGCAGAGGGGCGCAAATAACAACACTGAACAGATCCGTTGGAAAAAGGAGCTGTACCAAAATGAATTATTGTGAAAATGAGGGATATTTGAGGGAGGGGCCGTCAAATGTTGTCCTCGCCCAGGACGCCACTTGAAGGAAGCAGCGGGGGCGGACGCGGGTTGGAATCCTCTCAGCCCGGCCTCCCTCACAGGGTTGTTGTGGGGGGTAAATGGCGGGGAGCCCCGCCCGCCCCCCCCCCACCGGAGCTCCTGGGAGGGAGAAAAAGGAATGCGAAAGCGCTAATAATAAAAGCCAATTTATATATGTGGAGAGAGGGAGGGAACCCTGAGGCCGCGTCAGGCCCACAAAGGCGGGAAGGGGCCCCTCAGCCGCGCAGGAGGCGCCTGTCCCGCAAGAGGCCGGCAAAGGTCACCTCTGACGCCCTTGCGCCTCCCTCCCTCCCTCCATTGCGCGCGCAGCGGGGGGGGCGTCGCTCACCATCCTCCGTGGCTGCGCGTGGCGGCTGCAGGTCGGCGGGCCCCTCTGGCGCGCGTGGACGGCGGCGCCCCTGGCGCAACTCAGGCGCTGGAGGGAGCGGAGCGAGCGGTACATGGCGGAGGCTGAGGAGTGAGGCGCCGCGGGCGGGCGAGGGGGAGGAGAACGGAGTGGGCGGAGTCGCAGCCAATGGGGTGGAAGAAACCCACGTTTCCTTTTTGAAAGAGAAACTTTTAAACGAGCGCGTGGTTGAAGAAGGCGCTTGCCCAGCTCCCCTCTGCGCCTCGGAGGGCAGGTTTGAGCACGCGCAATGCGCCGCCCTCCCGCCCTGCGCCGCCGCCGTTTCGCGCTCCTCCCTTTTGTGCGCGCTGCCCCGCCGCCGCCCCATTGGCCGGGTCCTGTCAGCTGATCCTGTGTTATTTCCTGTGTGTGTGTGTGGGGGGGAGAATGGAGAGAGAAACCTCGGCACCATCACCGCGGAGCCGCCCCCGGCTCGACGCGGATCCTCGCCGCCGCCGCCCCGCCTCTCGCCGCCCGACTCGCCCGCCTCCCTCCCACGGCACACCAGGCAACGTCTCGCGGCACACTAGTGTGCCGCGGAACACCGGTTGGGAAACACTGACCTAAGGGTTGATGGCTCAGTGAGCAACTGTGCACACCTGCCTCTTCAAAACCAGGGATGGGGCTACCCTCTTCACTAAGCAATGGCCATCTCAGATGGGAAAATCTAGCAGACCTAAATGGCAGGTTTCTTTTTGTAATTCTGGCTTGCATATATGCACCAAATTCCAGCCAACATGCTTTTCTTAAGGACACTTTGCAAAATACTGAATGTCTTCAAAGAAGGCTCAGTTATAATTGGAGGTGACATTAATTGCTGCCCTAATGACTTCATAGATCGCAGCTCTTCCTGTTCTTTAAGAAGCAGCCAAGATAATCAGTCTAATTGCCTACTGGGGCCTAACAGACACTTGGAGACATTTACCATATTTTCCTGTCTATAAGACGCCCCCCATGTATAAGACGCCCCCAATTTTGGGGGACTTAGATTTAGGAAAATGGGGGGGGGGGAGATGTACCTGTGTATAAGATGCCCCCTAATTTTTGACATTATTTTTAAGGAAAAAAACATAGTCTTGTACACGGAAAATTACAGTAAATCCCACAGCACATGAATTCTCTTCTGATCCAGGTTCTCTCCCCTATTCTGGAAATGCTGTGGAGAGATAGGCTCATATTGTCATGCATGGTGGAATTGCATGCTGGTATACTCCTTTTGGGAAAAGGTGTTTTATGTTATTTCCAAAATTATGCAGCGACTCCCCCCACCAAATTCAGCTCTTGCCTTCTTATCATTAGACCCAAATTTAACAATAACCTTAAATGCAGATATTTAGTATTTTAGTGTTTTATTTAGTATTTTATCTGTTATCTTTATTTTATTTTATTTTATTTTTTAACATTACAAACATCCATTTAAACAAAATAACACTGATACAAACTTGATACATTTTTTTATCTTTACCACATTTGATTAGATTTCTCTAACTTTAATTTAACCCCCCCTTTTTTTAGTCTTTTGGTTTTTGCAAATTACAAGTGTTATAAAAACCCTGCTAACATCTTTAAGTGTTTACAGTGTTCTTTAATATAGTCTATGTATTTTTTCTATTCTGTATTAAATTTGTTGTCCTCTTCCAGTCATCTTTGCCATTTCAGCATATTCCATTGTCTTCATAATCCACTTCATAATCCTCTCCTCTTTAGTTGGTGTTTTCTCTTCCTTCCATGCCTGGACGTAAAGCATTCTCACAGTTGTCGTCGTATACATAAACAGTCTTTTCAGATCCTTTGGTAATTCTTCTCCTATTATATCTATTTAAAAGGCTTCTGGTTTTTTAACAAAAGTTATCTTAAACATTTTTTTCCAATTCATTATATGTCATTTCCCAGAATGCCTTTACCTTTTTGAATGTCTACCACATATGGTAGAACTTGCCTTCTTTCTCTTTACACTTCCAGAATATGTTAGTATTATTTTTATACATTTTTGCTAGTCTTACCGGAGTCA